CACGATTAAGAAATTTATACAACTAATATTTACCGCTTTTTAGAATTATTAACTGCGATCGTAGTGTAGCGCTCACCATATTAATTCTTGTTAGAAATCTCTATAATTGTAATTAGGAAAAATTTTCGCAGATTATTCATGTATTAATTAATGAGCGGAAAGAGATTGCGCGATTAAAATTACAAACGTTTCCGTCTTAATTTCTTGCGCTTCTTACGTTCGACGGTACCGAAAATTTGATATTAAATTAAGTGTCTAGGTAACCTCGCAAAATTGGATGAAGACTTGGAACGGCCAATAGCTCCGTAGGTCATGCGAGAGTTAAGCGCGGATTAAGCTGGGCTGCCGCCACTTTGGCTTGTTAGAGTTCTCATGGTTAACTGTATCTTCCGTAGCGAAGAAGAATGTGAGAATTGTTCGATGCTCGTGCAAGAAACTAAAGCTATTCTCTTTTCTCGAAACTTTACAAGACGTACTGCGTGAAATTTATACGCTAGTTCGAAAAAGACGTAATATTTTCGTTATATTGTTCAAAACTGGAATTATTACATACTGGAATTATTATATACTCGCAATTAATAAATTGCATAAGCATCACATAATAATTTACATCGCGGTATAGTGATATCACGGTTGGACTGTAGTTGATTTTCCAGTTATTATTCTATTAAAGTTGCACTCAGCTCGATACTTGATACTCGAGAGTGTTGGAATGTCAGAATAACTTGTACAACGCAAAGAGAGCGGAACGAATTTATCCTTTGACAAACCTTCGTTAGCTTTTCATCGTCACTGCGCCGGGATTCGTTTAAAGAATCCCGTCTCCGATTTTCCATCTTGTACAGACGGAGCGCTGAAAGAGAAGATCTGCTCATTAAGGTCTTAGTTAAGAAATTTTGTTCGCTCGTCTGCGAATATTTGTATTTTGTTCCTTCTATTTACTGAAGTTTCTCTTGTGACGATAATTTGTGCTATATCTTTGAGTGTATAACAGTGCGCGTAAGTAATATTCCTCTTTTGTTCTCTCTCTTTTCTTCTATTACTCATATTTTTATTGCATATTGAAATACATCTTTTCCTCTTCACTAGAAAATAGCAGACAAGCGTGTTGCAAATATTTATTTATTTAGTAGTATTGAATTTCATCTGATACAAAATATATTTTGTAACCGCCAGCAAAAAATTTTCATTGTCGATAAATAAGTTTTTTCATTGCGTAATTGGAAAATATTATTGGCGAGATTGTAAACTCAGCTATTTTCTAATCGTTTAGAGAGCAATAATAAACATTTAGATGAAATTAGTGACACTATTACACAGATTATGCGCGATTTAGACAGATAACTCAATTCATTGAATTATTTATTCCTGTCTACAGAGATTGCAATTAATTTAATTAAAGTAACGAGAATATTCCTGAATAAAGATATTCTGCAGAAAATCGAGTGAATATCGCTTAGAAGTGGCACAGAAAATCTACAATGAATAGGATAAATATAATTTTATAAGTAATATTATTGATAATATTACTCTCTTATCTCTGCAAACCACTGTCAGTAGTCGTGCAAGAAACGATGTAGATAGAATTTTTCAGAAATCTAATTTTTCTCTATGTACAATCTTTTTATAGAACAGCTAAAATTTCGTAGAGATAAGAGAATATTTTCGTGGAAATATTGCTTAAGGGATGCAGACTTGCATTGATATTGTATCGGTAATTTTATCCTATATACGCAAGCGATAGAAACATGCCAGTAAGAATTTTTCAAGGCATAAAAATAAATTGAATATTAAATTGCCGATGTCGCAGCGAGCACTTCTCAATTCTTTGATCGAACGCGAAGGAATCGCAGATAATGTAACACGAACGTCGTTAGCATTTCACATTTAAAGCAAACCGGCAGTTCAGGAAATAACTCTCTTTACGTCTATCTTTAACAAAAAATTAATAATAATAATATGATTATCTTCTTTTCTAGAACGACTATTTCACTATCTTTTCTTGCAAAGTTTAAGCATGCATTATATAATCTGTGAAATCGCACTTCTATTAATTATTATTATTTCGCCGATAATTTGCGATTATTAGGCAAAAGACCAAAGGCGAAACAATCAAACCCATAATAGGATTATAAAATATAATCGAGTACGAAATGATTGTGCTAATGAACCTAATATCGTACATTAAATAATTGCTCATATAGATTAAATGGCTTTCATTAACTCAGCTATGAGTAATCAGCATCATTATCGCTTCACGGGTCACAATTTCATTGAGAGATATGGCATCAAAATTTTTAGCAAATCATTAATCCTTGTTACATTACGAATGAGTTAAAGCAGAATATACCCTCGATCTAGAAAAATGGAAAGATTATACTGTAAATATGATTGCTGCAGATAAAATAATTACGGAAATATATAAAGAAATCAGCGTGAACAGTGCGAGAAGATAGACAAAAATACAGACAAAGTGGGGATTATGTTTGCAGTAAAATCACATAACGAAGTAATAAGAGAATTACTCGCGAAATTATTACGAGATAATACGCAATTTTGTCAAGTAAAATTCTGGGAAAGTGGAGATAAACTCGTGAAACGTATCTAAATGTCCGTGCAGTCAAACTGTTAGGAAACAAGAGTGGAAATGAGAAGGATGTCATAGAGACGCTATAGACAGAGGACACTCGAATAGAGACCGACGAAAGCCGACACTAACGAATGCTGCTACAGGCAGATATGAGTTTTATTAGCAGGAGCGCATTTTCCCCACTCGAAAAATAATGAATGCAAAACGCGAAAGTTCATACGTGAGCGTGTTTTCTTGCAAGCAAAAGTCAGGGTGAGAAGTAGGTTGCAATTATACTTTGGCTCGTCAAATAATTTAAAATATTACAACGTTGTCAAGTAAATTACAACGTAAATGTCAATGTTTAATCCACAGTTATTTAACGCATTTAATAAAAGCTGCTCTTTAGTTTAGCAAAGACGAGCTTCTTATTAAATGTTGTATAAGCGGATTAAAAACAGCGTTGCGCAGTAATGAAGACAAATTATCAAGCGAGTTTTCCTACCATAACTCCCATATTCTTCGTAGATCATTAAGCTATCTTAGGAAGTTACGCATTGTCAAGTTTTCCAGATGCTCGGTACTTGTGGCTTGGGCTTATATTAATATGCGATTAAACTCTTATCGCGTGGCAGGCGGTAAATGAGACCACGACTCTATTGTACAGGAAACTTTTCCTTGTGGTTGTGTATCCCAGATGGTTTGCTCGAGCAGTTTATTTCATTAGACGTAAATAAAATGCTATTGCTCTTTCAGAGTTATTGTTTTATCCAAATCGCATAAATCATCTTTTCAAAATAGTGATAAAAAACTATATCTTCTTTGTTTTTCTTATAAAAAGATTGAAGATTAAAAGATAATTATTTAAATGATGTCCATTCTATGAACATATTATATTCTATTCAAAGTTACATTTCGCAAATTATTCTCTTTACATTTTTTGCTTATCCTGTTAAAAATAAAAGACCACCGTCTCGATATCTTAATTGAAAATTAGAAACTCATCAGAGAATATGTTATTAAAAGTAAAGTCACGTGTTTGCAGATACCCCATATAAATTCATCGCATTGCTTTATCGCTCTGCTACTGAGAACCAATATTTTTTAATAATGACGAAATAAAAATGAAAAAAAAGAAAGAACATTTGAAATAAGTTGCTGAAGTTGTCCCCGCGCCCGTAGATCTGCCTCACAGACTTACGGAGTGCTCGATAACACGTTCTCCAGATCCCCGATAGCTGCAACTTCGGCTTATGTTAATACGCGATTAAATTCTTATCACTCGACGGACCGTAAATGAATCCACTCGGCGAATTCCGAGCACGTCCTAGTTTGGTGCTCTCGATTCGCCAACGGCATGGGTTCTGCGCTGAGTACCGTCGGGAAATGCAGGAGAAGGTGGACCCGTAGAGGCAGGGCCGGGTTCAGACGTTAAAAATAGCGTTAATGATATCAAATAAGACGCTTTATCATTTATAATACCGTTACTGTTATTTAAGATTCGTATAATTTTTGACATAATTATTTTCAAGAAATATCTGAGTGACAGTATTAAAGAGAAACAAACCAGCGTCGTTAAATATAAAGATATTTAAATTTGCGATGCATAAATAAAATAATATAATTTTATAGATATACACACTTTATACTTTAATACATAAACTGATTTGAAATAAAAATTTTATGTAAGAATTAAAATTGATGAAGAGATGCTGGTTTTAGCTTTGCCTCTCAAGGTACACAAACGGCTGATCCCGGTCCTGTGCCGGAGGTTGAGTGGCGCGGGTCATCGCGAATGGCGTGAAAGGAGACAAAAGGAAGGAAGAAAAGAGTCGCGCGACACTGTAGGCGTGCATCACCGCGCTCGCTAAATTCACGGTGCCGAAGCGACCGGGCGTTCGTTACAATTTCAACTTGCATCAATTACCAAGATCTCCCCGCCGCCCCTCCCTCGTCCGCTCGTCGCCGCGCTCCGTGTAATTTCCCCCGCCTGGAATAACCCGGGCGCGATTAAAAGCCTTCTCGGTCCCTCTAGTTTATACTGAGAATTATTCGCAGTGTTCGGACAGATAGCACACCAACCCGACTGTGCTTGGATGTACATTTAAGTGTATGCGATCCGCAGTGCGGTGGGTGAGAATTTCATCGCAAAAAGTGCACGCGGAAGTTGGGGTGCAAATGCGCGTAATCGCTGATTAACATTCTATGTCGTGTTGATTATAGCGTTAGTTGACCTCATTAACGAAAGTTATTGAGCTCGTGATATCGAGGAGTAGATAAAATTCGGATTAACCATGCGTATTATAAAGAAATGAAAAAATTATTTTAAATTAAAATATGTAACAAATAAAGTAATAAGACTTATATGTGTTCATATTCATTTTTCAACATTATTGAGATAAAAACATAAAATAATTTGATTTTGACTCACCGATACATGAAGCGCAACAGCGGAGTTGTAGTCTACGTTGATCTGTAAAATACAAAAATATTTTTCAAATATTACTGATATTTAACTACGTAATAAAATACTAAAATAAACTACAAAACAAGTATTATTTTACAATAAGCTTTATTTTATAAATTCTATATACGTGCATTTTTTTCAACCAGATTTTACCAGCGTACAAAATAATTAATATTTAAAAAATAATTATTAAACGTATAATAATTAATGTATAATTACTACATGCAAATTTTGTGTTATACATTTTTTAAAATATATTTAAATATACTTAAAAAAAATTTAAATATATTTAAAAAAATGTATAATTATAAATAGCAGAAAAAATTTATTTTATGTCTACAAATTTATAATAATTTTATGTACATTATATCAAACAATGATATCTGATTATTGTAGTAATAAATTACTTACTCTATAGTTACTTCGCCGTCGCCAGACTTCCCCCAAGTCTGCTCCTCTTTTCAGTAGTCCATTGATGACTCCTTTATGGCACAACTTTTATTCCCAAAATACCATTAATTACGGATTACGTGATATTTTCTACAGCACTCTCAACTACGTACCTTGTCTCATCAAGATGAAAAACGACTCAATAAACGCGATTGCGTGGAGTTACGAATTGTTTGATATTTTAATGTCCGCAGACAATAATCAGAACAGAGACAAAATTCGGAAATTTTACGACCAACTTTACGTGCAAACAATAAATCTATTATTCGTACGAAATAATCTTTTAATATTTAAAAAATAATAATTGTGATTGTTTTAAGACGTAATAATGTAACGACACTGTGTTAAAAGATATAAACACAACATCCAGCGCTGTGTGTGAGCATTTGTCATACGGATTTTTACGTATTGTAATATATGTTATACGTTATAAAATATGATCCTTTTTCGTTTCAAATTTTGATTTTGCAAAACTTGAGAGACAATTGAATTTTTACTATTATTTTTTACACCTTTGTTAGATGTATTTGTAGGATGCTGATTTGTACCTATTTGTAAAATAATGATCAGTTCCGTTTTCCAAAATTTCAATCCAGCAAAATTATTACCTTAAGCGACACTGACGAGTAAAATAAAGATATAAAAAAACGCAAATAATAAATTTATTGTTCGCGCACAAAATCGTAAAATTTTTTATTTTTTTTTTGGCCGCTGTTGTCTGTATTTTTCAAACAGATTTAAAAAATGCATAACAAAAAAAATTTATTTTATGTCTAACAATTCAAAAAATTTCAAACACGAGTGTTGAACGGTTCGTAGTTCCGTGCAATCGCATTCGTTAAGTTGTTTCTTTAATCGTAACTAACTATTTTGAGAATGAAAAATGTGCCATAAAAAAGCAACTATCGAGGGACTGCTGAGAGGAGGAGCAAGTCTGAGGGATGTCCGGCGACGATGGAGCAACTGTAGAGTAAATAATTTATTATTTATCCATAATTTTTTTCGAAAAGAATATTCATCGTTTATTATCGTGATTGTCCAATTGATTGTATAGTATAATGTATAAATATATGAAATAATTTTTAATATTTTTTGTATTTTGCAGATTAACGTAGACTACAACTCTGCTGTTGTGCACCATATATCGGTGAGTCAAATTATCTTTGTTTTTATTTCTAACGTAATAGATCTTTGGAATTATGTTATATAGTCATACATATATACTGCATACTGCATATCACAGCATTATCTGTAATAAAATTTATTAATAAAGCAGACAATATGGCATAATGTTAATCATAACGTACAAAAAATTAACTGTTTAATAATAACTAAAATATTCAAAGCGTTTGTAAATTAGCAACACGCAACGGCGAAATTTCCGCACTGGATTAAAATAAAAGTTTAACGAAGAAAACAATGTGATATTGACTCTTGCTTTTTTCGTATGTTACTTGTTCTCCAAACAATATGATATTGTTCTGGCACTCGCTAGACGATTATTTTACGTACTATTTGCAACAGTATAATGGCGGAAACTTTCCAAAACCAGCTACGGAATATTCGCCGTTTTAGAAATTATTAAAACCACGACGTCCGGTTGAAACTTCGCATTACCGTAAAATAAAGCGAGGACCACGTTGAAAATTATTAAAGCGCAGCATGTACTACTCATGGCACTGGAAACGCAAGTAATGGAAATGTGCTGTTAATAGCACTGCAGAGATGAAAAGGGAAATAACAGACATTTTCCTACTTTGTAGGAGACACGAAACATAATTTACTGTGTTATATACGTGTTTCTATCTAGAAATTACATTTAAGTATACCTGATGTTTTCTGTCTTCACGTGTAAAAGTATACGTCATAACGTGAACAAACTTTACTGAATTAAAGATTATTTACTAAATTCATTTTTCCTTGATACAAATTTTGAAATGGATCTTATTATCAAGATATTTAATATTAAAGAAAAGTATTTTCTTGAATTAGATCGATATAGTTTCGATAATATCATAGATCATTTAGCAAACGCATAATAAAAATTTTTTAACTTTAACTTTATTTAAGTAGAAAATTTATCACAAGTTTACCAAAGTAATTATAATAGTGAGAATTTATAAAGAAATAATAAATTTCAATTTTCGCTAAGAAAAAGTTTATGAGATCTAAAATTAAAATTTGATACGGTGAAGGTGGCGGATCTTCTTCACAGGATTTTAACCACCGAATTTTCTCATGTAGTGAATAATTCCATAGAATTATAAGTTGGGATGAGTTATAACTTCACAGAAATATAAAATTCTATAAGCAATTCTGAAGCGTCTTAAGAGTCCGTAGAAATAACAAAATCATGTAGAATGTAGAATATAGATAGTAGTTGAAAAAGATCTCGGTAATGCAATTGCAAGTAAAATATCGATACGATAAATGCTGATGTGATTAAGGATAATACATTTTTAGTTTTAGAAAATCAATTTAAAAAAGCGTGGCAGTTATTGTGTTATTACTGCACGATTGAGCAAGAATATTATCACCATAATGGTAGATAATTGTCCTTCGCGATTAGCTCTCAATTTATGCGAAGCGGCCATTAGTGATATCCATTTCGGGATCTTTAATACATTGGCTAATATACTGGGCGTTTCAAAGCGGAGCATTTATATTTAAAAAAAATGTCCCTTTAGTTAATGGATTTTCCGTCAGTTTATTTTCTAAACAAAAATGTGATATTTATCGTAATATTTTAATCTTTAATCTCAATAAAAATTAAAATTTTATTGCTTATTTTTTGAACATAAAAATCATGATAAGCTTATTTTTATTTCTATATAACAGCATTTAATTAAAGTGATAACATTATACTTTTTACATTAAAGATAAATCGCGTTTCCGTTTTTGGGGTTAATGTATCAACATGCAAACAATCAATACCTTTTTCAATTTGACTTCTCGTGTTGATTATTGGCACACGTGCTTTTGAAAACTCTGTATATATAATGTCAAAATAACGAAGAGAAAAAGCCGAATGCACATAGAGCATAATCAATGATATCGGTACACGCGATCAGCACGGATCGATACATTCAGAACGATGTACTTTTCGAACCGTAACGGGATTCGATACTATCAATTAAACATAGAGAGGATGATTTGCTCTCTATCCTATCGGCTTCCTTCATGCTAATGCACGCCCCTGATCAAATTTTCCGTTAATTTACGATCCTGCTCGGAAGCGAATCTCGAGAACGGGCAAAAAGTTTGCTTACCTTTGATGCTTAAGCTTCAAATATTAACTTCGGCAATCTTAAAATACATTTATATATATAATATATATATTTATTTTATATATTTATATAATATATATAATAACATTTTTTAAAAATTGTCGGCATTTTTTGTCGCGATCTGGAAACTAATGAAAACATTCTACACCGACTTATAATTGATATTACAAAATTTTTCAAACTCGTTTTTTTCTCTTCCTCTTGTTCATTCACTTTTTACATGGTTTAAATGATATTGATAAAACTTGAAGTGTTCTGTTTTATATTAGCAATCATTAGGACAATATCAATTCAAGAGCTCGCAACGTAGTTTCTCTTAATTAAATACAGCGCGAATTTAGCAAATGAGGGACATTGCCAAGCTGTTTTCCACGGCATATCTGGACTTTAGTACAAATTTTTTGCCGATATAAACACGAAGACGCTTATTTCGGTATCCGTGTTGTTTTTCAACTGCCACCCTTCCCAGCATCAACTCTCCTCACACAATTGGCGAACCTCCGATACGGGAGTTTAACTTTGTATTGGTATAGTTTCTGTAACTGGCGCGTAGACGTAACACACCGCCAGCTGTACAAGGAGCTTTTTATCCATTAAGCGGCAATGCGCTGAAATTAGCTTGCGACCACTGATACGCGCGTATTCGCGAGCGTTGAAATACGCGCGCGCGCGCGTGCGCAAATGTCGTTCTAGAGATAAAAAAAAACCGAAAAGAATTAAAACTTTTTCCGATCGTCGTTATTTCGCTGGTCAGCTCCGTTCGATAGAAGGACTCCCTCGGCATTTTCGATTCTGCTTGTACCATAAATTGTCTCTATATTTTTTTGCTTTTTCTGCTCCGAGGGCTCATCGCCTGTCTGAATAAACATCGCACGATCGATGTTGTTATTATCGTCGTTGGGGGCATGGCAAACGCTCTTTGCGATGTTTTCCCCTCTGCTTTCAATGCTTTATATGTGATGCCTTGTGTATACGAAGTACACACCCATGTGCGTTCTCGGTGTCGTTAGAATTCTTTAATCGTTTTTGGAGCGAGCTTTTTCTTGCAAAACTTATTGTAAGTGTTTTAAAAGTACAATAAACGTGCATTATGACAAAGACAGTTTTAAACTAGATTTTTTCTTCTTTATCTTTGAGACTAGGCGTTCTAATTCTAAAGCAGAGATTGTTATCGTAATGAGCAACTTCTTGTAACATAAAGTATTTAAATTTAATATCGAATTTTGTCGTATTATAGGTGTAATTAAAAATTGGATAGATAATATTTGC